AGTTTGCAAATTATTTCTACAATTAATGTACGTGATTTTGACAGCACAATCTACGAGTGTTTAATAATAGAGACAGAGAAAATTAATATGAGAGTTGCAGTTCAATAAAGAATAGATTATATAAAAAGATAATTTAAAAAGAGAAAGAGAGGAATCTCACAATACAATGTCAAATCCAATATCGAGCAAAGTTAAACTAATGAGAAAAATCTTTTAATATTATGGATTTTAATATTTTATATGATAAATAATATTAGAAATATATGTAGGTAAAATTCATATTCTTTGTTTTTTAAGATTTACAACAAAGACGGAAAGATCATAAACTCGGCTGATTAGAATAAATTGTTCAAATCTTTTATTTCAGACTTGAAATATGTATGTAAATGTTACGTGTTTACTTTCTTATGCATTTATCTAATTAGATTGAATTGAAACCTTTCAGCTTTTAACTCAATTACGAAGAAAGTTGGGGAAAGTGAGATCTGTTTCTATGCTATAAAAATTTAATTCCATCAATCTGTTATCATCTGTAATATTTTTGTATTGTCGAGTACCTATAATCAGAGTATGGCTAACATGTGTATTATACATAATTTCAATAATCCTGTTTTTTTTGTGCTTGTGGATTGTTTCAATTTTAATTCTTGCATGCCATTTACGATAGCTAGACGCGATTGAAGGCCTCGGATATGGCTTAGACGAGTGAACGGTGATTTATTTCTCCCGTCTGTTCTATTTTCGTAACATGTGCAGCCGTATTTTCCCAGGCTAGTCCAGGATATAGTCGCACATCCGGATGAACCGTAGTCGTTTGACACTCAGCAGAGCACCACGTGCGGCTTGTCCTTGCCTTTGCGAGACGCCGTTTCCGGTAAGCCGCAACCGTGACGGAATAAAGAAATTATTAAGCTTACTATCTTCGGCTTATTTCGAGTGTCGTTTTAAACTTTAATAGATTAAATCATTATTTAACGCTTCAGATATTTACGATAATTAATATTTACAGACTTTTATTTTTATTTAGTAATAATTACAGATTAGACTTGTTGCAATAATAATTGCAATAAATGTTATATTATTAATTACACTGTCTTAATTGTTCATTTAATATTCCAATAACTCATTATATAAACTATTAAGCAATTTATAACGCGAGTATTTTAAATAGCGTTATTTTTATTCCGAATAATTGCATACAATTGTGTTTAATCGAGATATGTATGCATGAAGTTTTCGTAGAAAGCACGCACGTTTCCCGTAATATTTAAGCGAGCCAATATTTCGATCTCTATACTCAGACAAAAAAAATATCCGATAACTGCATATTCATTCGAAATAAAACGCATGAAACTGGCTTTATAAATGCCGACTCGAGAACTTCCATAGTATAGGGAAACTATCGAAGACGATTTTTTGTTTGCGATGGACTAACCGACAATGTGCTCGCGTGTCAACGTAACTTATCGCATATGTAGCGTAACGTCCGACTTAAAAATGACGACGCCGGCTATTTGCGAGACATTCGGCGAACAGGGTCTCCGCGGTAAGAGTTTAATATAGCGCGGTCATGAGCCTCGAATTCTGGGCCAATAATGTCATGATTTTGTCGCACCCACTCTTCTTTCCTAGAGACACGCGAAAAAAAAACAGAAAAATTGAATTAAATCGTATCATACGAGTCAAATCATTACCTAAAAAGAAATATTATTTTTATTAGTTTTATTATTAATTTCTAATTTATAGGGCACACGCCTTATTGTATGTCGCAAAATAAAATAAAATAATATATGTAGCAAAAAGTAAAATAATTTAATAAAACGTAAGAAATTATAAAGTTAATTCATCTATTTATATCTATCTGCAAAAGGCTATCGGTATAGCGGAAACCCATTGTGATTCTACCCAGTAGTTTAGAAAATTTTAACTCTCTCAGCGGAAGAGCGGATGTAAATTTTGCGAACGATGGATGAACGTTGATGTAAAATAAACGAGCATTCGGTGTACTTGACCGTGTTGCAAAAATAATGTAGAGTACCACGCAAAGCGGATTTATGAACAGAAAGCTTAGTGGAACTGGAAATAGCATTGGAAGAGTTAAAACCTACTATAAATTTGATTCAATTTTGTTCTGAGTATTCTAACTTTATATCTTACTGCATAATGTTATGCTAATTCAATAGCTATGCTAATTAAACTTTACGATTGATAAGATTCCTAATTAATACTTTATCACAAGAAAAGAATTAATTAATAGTTTCTCTGTGTCACGTAAGCTCGATTTCTCATACTTTTGCGAAATTGACTGCATTTCGAAATATCGCTAACAATTTGTTACTTATTTTATGATTTATTTGATTAATTACTCGATTTACAAAATTACTGGATTTTAATTAACGAGTGTCTAAATGGAAAGTATTTCCTTCACAAAATGCATATATACATATATATACGATATGATGATATCAATGCTGGGGGCCATATGTTGCACGAATATATCTTTTATATATTACATAATATCTTTTTCATGGGTACTTATCACTTTGCATGACTCACTCTGTGATCAAATAAAACAACACCATTTGATGTTACATAAATGATTTGTATGTTTCTCGATATATAGCTAAATATAAACGTAGATAAAAATTTTTTTATTTTTTATTTTACCGGAAATAATTTATGTCCAATTAGTTTTGCAATCAGAATGTCTATTGTATTTTTCCAATGGTAATATCGGTGAGACAGACATCAAGATTAATGACAAAGCGATGATCAATTTTTCTAACAGATAATAGAGGATGTTTTATGGCAATGAAATTGATATCAAATCGATTTCGCGTAGAACAGTATCATATAACGGTCGTTAAATGGGCGTTGGCTTCCTTTCGTTACATAGAACATTTAGACGGATCATTTTGTCCATTATGAACTTCATTAGGTATGACGCAAAGTACTTTCGCCAAACTTTCCTTTAGTCAATAAACCGTAACTCACAGCTATAATAAACCGTGATCCTCTTTCTTCCCCGTTATTGAATCAACAAATAATTGAATCTGTATACAATCTTGAAGCAATCTCTGCATTATATTTTCTATAAAGTTTTATAAATATAATAATATCCAATGTACAATCCAAAGAAACAAAATATATTATTTAATGTAATACTTTTCAAAACGTGATCATAAATTTAGCTCTAATAAAAAATTAAAAAATTAATATCTTTTTACACAAATAAACGCATCGCGTTGTGGCTATCACGTGAACGCATTATCTCGTATTATTTCGAAAAATGACATTTGCGCATAACGCTCCGTTCGTCTGTTGTATAATGAAATCACTAGCTCCCGGAGAGATAATAAAAACTCATTTACGTAATTCCCGCACTCTGCAGTGCATTAAATATTTAAATTACCCGGAAAGGTAGATCCTCTCTCGCCGAGAGGGAGGAAAATCTCGTAATCCGCGGTCTAACCATCGGCAAACGATCCCGACAACTAATCATTTCGATTATCTACGGCAGACACTTAAGCCTCTTTAATCCGCTACTGCGCTGGTGTCCGACTGAATATGTCGTGCTTGCGCAAAAACGAATAAAATAGTGAAATTTGTTCCGTTCGAGTTGAAAACATTAATTTAACGCTAGAGAGAGAGAAAATAAGTTATTATTACATCCGAGAGTTTCTTCTTCAAAAAAATACGTATGCAGTAGACATATATTCTAATGACACTAATACGATTGGATATTCGCCGTACTGACGGATACAGGAGTCAGTAGACACATCGGCATTCGAAGTAAGCAATGTATTCGCGGTTGAGAAAGCCAGTCGGTGTTTCGCAATGTCAAGATACGATTCGATCGAGCAAAGAAGACTGGATGTCGGTCACGTTCCCCTTCACCAATCAGTTGACCAGAACTCAAACTCTGACTCCAATCTGTCGCAAAAGTACATAATCTCTTCGCCGACATTAATATATTTCTTCGCTTATTTCCGAGTATACGTTCAGATTTCTAGTCTCTTCTTTTAACGGAAATTTCAGTGAACAGTGGATCTATTCTGTAATTCTTAACGATAGTTTCGTTATCGTTATATTTGCGTTGCGCAGATATTATATATGGTAAAGAAGCTGCGCAACCACAATATAATGAAACTGTCGTTAAGAGTTACAGAATAGGCCCACACATGAATCTAACGATTTAATGTAGATTCCTTATGTTCCTTACCTATTTGTTATTTATTTGTATTGATCCAAAATATTGTATCAAACATATTTAAAAATTTTATATTATTCACATATGGTATAGACTAATCAAGAAATTTGAAAGTAAACTTTTAATTTGTGCTGACTTTTATTAAAAGTTGTTTATTCAGCATGTTAAGCTTAATATCGAATTCATAAATTTAAATTTGCAAGTTTATGCAATACGCTTCTATACGTCATCGCCTCTAGATTGCCTCAAGTACGTACGTTTCAGTGTAAAAGGACATTCTCCGGAGTGGAATGTCCTAGATCGAGATCGTTATTTAACCGCTCTATATGCCCCAGTGATAGTAAGAATAGAAGTTCAGTGAAATAATGCAAGGACGATAAATCTCCATCATTTTCATACTAATTGTAAGACAAAGAAGAATTAAGATGAAGTGCATTCAAAATGAATCAGTGCATAAATGAATGATAGAAAGTAATAGTATAACTGTAATTCTTGCCTACTCCATACAAATTGTGAAACGCTCAAACTGTAATTGTTAAATATTAGCCTGATAAATTTTGAATTAAAAATCTTATTATTTATAGGAAAATTTAAAATAACGAAAATTTTAGTTAAATATTAATAACGATACATCTTTTGAAAGCATCAGAAAAAAAGAAACAATTTTATAATTTCACAAACATGTACGCATGTTACCAATGCGCGTCCTTCGCGCTATAATACCCACGTCTCTAGCGTAAAACAATACTCTATCGACATGTCCCATATCCATGTGGTTATCGGCACTCACCTCGGTTAAAAGAATCAACAGCAGCAGAAGGATGCTGCTGAATTTGGATACTGGTTGTGGACAGAAGACTTTACGGTCCGTCATCTTCGATGAGTGCGAAATCTACCAACGTCGAAACCTCCTTGTTCCCGGAGCAATCGCTCTTGGTCCACCCTTCACCCAGACACTCACTGACACCTCACGGAATATAACACCCACGAAGACACCTTCGGCGTCCAGTTAAGTAACGAGGAATGCGCGAGGAATGTGCGTGTCACATCGATCGATCGACGGCACTAGGACTTACTTCTTCGAGTCGCGCCGTGCGTGTGGTATCACAAGAAATTGCGTGTCCCACTCCGGGTACCTCGCGGTAACACCTGTTCGGTTGTTTGACAGCTACGCCGGTGCCGGAGGTAGTGACGGCGACGATGGCGGAGGAGCCGAGGGATCGCGGTGGCAGGAAGGTCGGCTGCTGCCATATCAGTCGGCGAGCCGCGTGTCGCCGAGCCTTCTGCTTGACTGAAGCTAACGCGTTATCACGAATCCAAAACACCAGGAAACGATGACTCGGTTAATGCGCGACTCTCGCACGTCGCTGCTCTTAGTTCTCAGGCTCCCCTCCTCGGGTCTGGTACATCCGCTGTGTCAGGTGCATCAGAGTTATGTAAATTTCCCGGAATAAAAAAAAATTAATGGATCATTTTTCTGCGGTGTCTTAGCGCGTGTTATCCATTAAATTCTGCTTCAACAAATCGCACAGTCCTCGTGCCGGATTGAAGTAGGTCGATTTAGTTTCGAGCATTCAATTTTGTTCTTTTTTTTTAATCTAGATGTGGAATGCTTCTTGCATCAATTTGATTGCTGCGCAATGTTTCTTTCATATAAAATTACTTTATAAATGGAAGCTTAATTGGTACAGACATCTAATGTAATTTTCATTACTTTATTACAGCTGCTTTTCACATTTTGACATCTATCTGACGTTGAAAATGTATGTCAACGACCGGTACATATACATATACGACTATGCTAACAAAGAAAGTATAATAGGCGTGCCTCTCTACTTTATCTCTCGCACGTATCGTGTCTTTTTGTTCTGCCTTTCTTCATGTTGTTCTTAAATAGAATACCGGTTCTTTCGCTCATCAGGCACCTTTGTCTTCCTCGATGTTATTCTTGAAGTATGTGACGTAAAGAAATCACATAATACATTAATGTAGTAACGAACCGAGGAAGAAAATTACTTTGCTTTCTTATAAAGAAAACATATTGTGCTATTTTTACTTCTATTTTATACTCTCGTTTTTAAATACATTTCTCTCTATCGCATCTGTCTATTCATCGAACGAAATATGCGATATCATTTCTGGACTGGATTAGTTTCCTCCCTTCGTTACTCCGCGATTTGAATGCTCCGAAGTGTGGAACGGAATAACGAACTAGGGGTTGCACCCTTCGGCGCGGTCAACGTGACAACAATGAGGTAACGAAGCAAGCTTCACAAAACATTGAAAATAGCCGAGAGATTGCTCGGTGATCGGAAACGCGTGATTTTGCCCGGAGAAAGGTCTGTGCCCGATCGATTTTTTCCTTGCACTTATCACTATACAATATACTTTGTTTTAGTCTTTTCACGATAATATTTAATTATGTCGTTCGACGATGAGATCCTTATTTTACAAAATTTTAAAAATCTCAATAATTTCGATTTTTTTATACACCAAGCTCGTACGTGTGTCCTGCTGCCAATAGATCTCTTCTATCTTGACTTCGCTTCATCCGGCTGATGAAATACAAGTTTAACCGCACGACGGAAACTTTATATGAAATATGAGTTATGGCTGGATTAGTACTGAGCAGATTAAACCGTTCTGCGGTTTCATGCGTCCACTTACCGAGTAGACTTCCTTCCGTTACTCTATCGCAATTCACGCGCGAAAATATCACGCGTGAGAAGAACCACCGCGCGAAACGTCACAGTTAATGATACGATGCTATCCCTGAATCATCCATCGGGACGAAAATTATGAGAAGCAAAAGATTCCGAGTAGTTTAAGAATACAAACGCTCCGTCTTGATTAACAAAGGAGCACACACCTGAGCATTACTCCGAATCCATTGTCTCTGCCGCTCCCTAGGCCCTCATTAAGCCACCGAGGAAGGAGCTACACGCGTCATAAAAGAGAACGAAGCCCGGATTTCAAAACAAACACCGTAAAACAACACCAACTTTCTAATTAAAAGCACAAAATGAGAGTCTCCCTTATCCGAGGTCACCACCCTAGGGTGTCAATCAGAAACCAGGCCACTGACCGCGCTTCTTCACCCGCCCCAATCACGATTCCTCGACGAGAAAGAGAGCGACATCCCTTAAACGCGCGATCTCGTTCATCAGCGGAGTCGCCGATCCAGCTGGACGTCCGCCTGTCACCTCTGTCATCCTGCGATCGCGGTAAATCCGACTGGGATACGTCTCAGGAGGTGCGCCAATGCGCCGGTCGCCACCGCGTGTCAACGTGTCGTGCTCCGAAAAGGGACGGAGGCGCGACGGCGAGGAAGGGCCGGGAAATGGGCAGCAAACGAAGCGTTCAGCGTGCTCTCATACGGCTGTAGGTGCGCACGGTCGACTGGCGCGCTTTCATGACGCCTCACCCGGTGCGGGCCGACCACCAGGGCCAACGGGACCTCGGTTGTTCTCTCGACACTCCACTCGTGGCTACGACCGAGGCAGCGCCAGGCTAAGCCGCTCTTCGCCTTCGCCCCTCACCCCTGCCACCCCGTCCGGCAACCTGGCTGTCTTTCCATTCCGATTCTGGCTCTCGCTCCTACCCACGTCGCCCGTCTCCCTCGCTCCTCCGACCTGGCCTGCTCCGGCTGGTTATCCAACGCAGCCGCCATCACTACTGCATCCGCTGCCTCTACTCCCACCAACTGGCGGTCTGCCTTTCCCTTCTAGTTATCGCTCCCTCTCGCTCGCTCTTGTTGCATACATTGTATAAATCTACCTGGTATATGTTATGTACGAACAAGAATGATTCAGTTGTGTGCGAGGAAGCCCAGTAGCGTAGCTAGATGACACGAATACATGTTGTGAGCAAAATAATTAATTTTGATTAATCGTGAATGTGTTCTTCTTTATTTTTATATTGCAATCTTGATACGAATAATCCATAGTAATTACTATGGATGCATCTAATTTCATCTTTTGAAATACTTTGTTAGCAATCTACTAAATATGGTATCTATAAAATCTATAAAAATAGTATCTGTAAAAAGTGCAAATATAGCATATAATGGGAACGCTAAAGTAAATAGACAACGCTTCCTTTTAAGAAACTTTTCTTAAAACAGTGAGAAGGAATGTTTTTTCAAAGGAGAGTATTGTAGAAGAATATACGTTGTTGTCACCTTGTTAATAACTACAAAATTATTCTAATCACATCCATTTTTTAAATTTATTTTATTCCAGCTTATATATATTTCTTTACACTTATTGTCAGTATCTTTTCTTTTATTGGTCTCTCAAATGCCAGAATCTATTTAAATTGGCATCTAAAATATTCGTAAAAAAAAGATATATTATACAAAATATGTTAAATTAAAATAGAATTAAAAATGTAGTTATCATATACTTTCTTCATACTTCAAATAAGAATTTAAATTCTTCTATATAGAACTATTTATAACTGATATGTTTAGAAAGAATTAGATACAATTTCATAAGTTATCAAAAGATTAGATTTGCTTGGTGGATATGGTAAATACAGCAATCGATAGCTTCCATCTCTCAATCGCGAAACGCATTGCACGTGTCAACGTCAAACGATAGATGGGAAGGCTCTCCCATAGACCGTGTCAATTCCACGCGATGGCATTTAAATGGATGGCGACGCCTCCGCGGATCTGGAAAATCCCGAACGGCACCTGCGATTTCACAGCCATGTTGACATCTTCTTTTATATCTTTCTTTTCCCCGGGTAACATCATTCCCCGCCCTTCCCTGGCGCACACCCGAAGTAAGGTAAGACTAATACATTCGCATCTCCACGTTCGCTTGTGCGGACACGTCGCTCACACATACGTAAAATAACGACTACACATATACATCTTCTGTTTCTTCCTTTCTACCGGCATCTCTTGCTACAGCCTCCTTTAACCCTCACCGCACTTCGCTGTTCCCCCCGGCCTTTGCCCTCCGCAGCGTTGTTCCTGAACCGACAGTCGCCACCTGATACGTGCGCGCGTGCGCGCGCACACGTGCGTGCTCACGTGTATATGCACATACACGTGGACAAATCTCTATCGGTGTATCATCTTTATTCATAGAAGTTGTCGCTCTCCTACACCTACGCAGGTATTCTGTAGCTTTGAAGTCAGAGACGTGGTTAGTATAATTAGTACCCTGCTGTAGGCAACAATAAATATTAGAATTTATAATTACGCGCGTGTTACTTCGAAGAGGCAACAGAAGACGGAAAAATCAATAACATGACAACGACTCAAGTACTTGATCTGTTCTGGCGTTTTTATGTCATCTACAATGAAAGCATGAGTATTGCAAATACAGCAGCGTTTCGACAAACTTTCTATATTACGTTTTCTTAAAAATTATCTAGCATGTTGCTAAATACAGCAACTTGATGAATAACAAAATAATAAGTCAGTCGACTGTCACTTAGTTGTAGCATGTAGAAAATGCGTTCTAATTTACGTCATCGGAGTCACGTTACTTTCACCGTATCCCTGACATGTCTTCTGACACAAAAGTAATAAATGCAAGTAAATTTGGGAGAAAAGACGCAGCAAATTCATCCTGCTTTCCTATGTTTAATGTGTAAAAAAATGTCCATGTAAATTTAAAAAAAAGTATTAAAAATGTAACCATGTAAATTATATTTACAAATTGTTATTCACAATAAATATGACAACGCTAATATGACGCATTTTATCAAAACTAAAAATCACTTTTTAAAAATGCATATAGATGAAATCTACATCGTAGATATGAAAAAACACAGTAAGAATCACGTATAACGACACATAGGAATCTATTTTACATTCTATTGTACAATTCTGATAAATAAAATAGTTATATTAGTGACATCTATTGTCATATTAGCGAGCAACATCATTCTACTATGACAATTGTTGGTTGAAGAACGCAAAAGATGAAAAAAATCTATAACTTAATTTATTTATAATCGAGATTTATTTTTAATAGTAATAAAGTAGAATACTAATAATTCATAAATTTTCATTTTATATTTTTCTTCAACGCTTCTTTAACAGCCGACGGTATAAGAGTTACTCGTACTTGTGATCCGCAGAATAAACGCGACGATCAATGAAGCGATTTCGTCATTTTCGTCAATGACAACTAGCTATATGTTCGACTACCCACATTCAAATAAATATGCATGCTTGCGATAGTATGGCGAGGGCAAACTGACGTCAGCAGCAGGTTGAGGTGTCTTTTGTCATCTTTCATCTCTCTTGGTCATGATGTCATCGTCGGCTGTTGGTCCGCAAACCTTTTAAGAAAAAGTAGCTATTCCTCACCAACAGCTCAAGAATTACAAGATAAATGATCCGTACATCAATTTTTTTATGCCTTTTTTTATTTTACACTAAACTATTTTACACTAATAATAAAAAAAAAACAAAAAAGAATATACTAAATATATGTTATACAAATGTAATGATCAAATAAAATATATTATTGTATAACGTCACCAACAATAATTTATTGGAATAACTTTGTATTATAAAATTGTAATTTCCTTTATATCTCATTAATAGACTTTTAATTTGACTATATTTACCAGTGATATAAACTATTATAGTTTAAATATAGTATGGAAGGTAAACATATAACGCATTAATTTGTAACAGAATATTTCTTAAAGCTATTATTACATTGACGGAAGTGATTATGGATCAATTTATATTTATCTTGTGTAACTTGATATGTATTGCCATTAAAGCATTTTACAAGCTTTGTTATTACCATAAATCTTGATTTCTAGTTTAGCAGTCGCAAGGTTGCATAACGTGAGCGAAAGGAAAGGATAAGCAAGAATTTATACATCCAACAGATCTAAAAGAAAAGTCTTTTGAAGTAACATTATAATCTCGCACAAAATTTTATGCAAAAATGATATCAAATTGAAATTTGTTTAAGAAATAAGTTTATGTTTCAACAAATCTAAATATATTTGATTTTTCAAACAAATCTCAATGTAATTAAGTAAATGATTGCTTAAGTGATATTTTATTGATATAGTTATATTTAGAGAGTTATAAAAATTACGAAAAAATATTGTTTAAATTAATTTTATAAGAATTATTGTAATTATTGCAATATTATTAAGCAATATTTTGAAGACAAATCCTATTAAAATTTTTATTGCAATACAAATAATTGTTGATCTGATCTTGAATCCATTAGACGTCAGGTTTCGTAATATCGATGATCTCTCGATCTTGAAGTACGACGATTGAAGGTTTCCACGGGTCGGGGACACCTAACAATTCGCGATCCATCGCGCATGCGCACGCCCTGGTCCTGTCTACCCACAACGGATTCTGGCGAGTAGCGCAGCAAGTGTATGTAACCAGTCCTGGACGGACGGTCAATCTGGTGTCTTGTGAACCGCTCGCTCGGTCAGGATTGATCGGTTGGATTCGACGCGTGAGCAAAGTCGCCGGGAAGAAAACGAGACGGAGGAAAAAAGTGATCTAACCGGTGTGCAAATTTTGGATTACCCTTTTCTCGCGAGGTAAGAATGGCCACATTTTATAACATCTCTTCAGACTTCTCTGATTAGAAATATGATCTAAATTCGTTTAGTTTTATTTAATGTATTACATTTGATGTATTTAATGTATTTAATATATTTCATTTATTTAATGTATTACGGATAGGTATTTTGTAAATATATCGATTCTGTGTTAAAAGTATTTGTCGAATTGCACGAAAATTTATGTAAATGTATAATAAATTTTTAAACATTTTTAAATTGATAGCACACAGATGGCCATACAGATGCCTTGTTTTAAATTAAATATCGTAAAAAATTAAAATCTGTAGAAAAGCATTTAAATTAATAATAAAAATTATTTAAACAATCTGAACGTGAACAAATAAAGGATAATGCATGGTGTAAATAAATTAAATATAATTTACTAATTGCCAGCCGGCAAATTAGCGGCGTCAGAATCGTCAATTAACATTAATTATCTTAGCATAGAAGTGCCTTTGCAATTATGTTTCTGTTTGTATTGAATTACTATTAGTGCACTACCCGCCGCGCTATCGGTCCCATGTAGCAATTAATCTTCCGTCACTGAAAATGCCTCAGTGCCTTTGAATGACTGCAAACAGCGACCGTCATTATGCCGCACATGTCATTGGTTAACACGCCATGATTCCTGATGTTGCCAGGTTAAAAAAGTTCCCTTCAACTCGATGATCGTTTGAAAATTTTCATTCTGACTTGTTATAACGCTCTTAGAATACTTAGTTAGTAAAAAACGATTTCTTTCTGAAACTGTGTTACATGTTCTACAAAACTTTTATTAAATTTTCATATGTGGTACATGTCATTTTTAAAATTAATTAAAATTAAGTAATTTTATAACTCTAATTTTATATTAGAAGTGAAGATGATTGAAGGTAATTCTACGTTTATCTATGAATGTTAAATGCAATGTGTGTGTAACTATGTGGCGGAAACTTATATTAAAAATTATTTCTGCGTCAAATTTAAAAATTATAACATACAAATTTTTTACATACACTTTAAGTTTCCACATATTTATTGTGAATTGTACATAAAATATTTTATTATTTCATTAAAGTTAAAATATAATTTTGCAAAATAAGCATATTATTTTAATAGGACGTATAAGGAAATCCGATTTTATTTTATAAGAGTTTTCCATAAAATTTAAATTTTCAAATCACGCGACAATTTCATATGGAGCAGTTTTTGACACTAATTACATATCCGCAATCGACTGGAACTTGTCTCTTCAAGCATACGTAATACGGTGAGCAGATGATTGGAGATAGACGGAAGGTCAAATCCCACTTTCCGTCTCCGCGGATCTCTCAGCCATGTTAGGTGCGTTTTAAAGACCACTCAGAATAAATACCAATATGCATAATTCATGCGTCACTACGAATGCTACAACGTTCATTAAGAGCTTCGTAAGCGATGAATTATACATAAGAATAACATTCAAGAATAAATGGGAATTCTTTGACACAGTGCAATATATATTTTAACACAGTTGTAAATTATCTTATCTTCATTAACGTGATGTTTAATTAAGGAAAACCGACAAGAGCGAATTGTTGAGATAAAACAAAATCGTAACTCTTGAAATTGTTTCTTGTTTTCAATCTACTGTTTTTCTGATTTATCTCTATCGGCTGCGCTGTTTGGCAGGCGGCATATTTTTACACGAAATTGACTTGTAAAAAAATAAATGAGACAGATTTGTATGTACAACTGAAATGAGGAAAAAATGGGGACGAAAGTATAGATATAAAAATAGGCGTAAAGCCAAAAACATATTGGCTCATAGCTCATAAAGCTTCTTACCGTTGGGTTGACGCGCCAAAAATACAACCGTATATTTTTTGTCACGTTTTTTTACGATCTTAGCAAAACAATAAATTTTAGACATTTTAATTTTATAATACTGCAAAATTTGGTTTAAAGTCGGAACTCCGTTGAGATAAAATTTCCGTAGGAAATTATTCAATTAAAATATGAAATGATATACTCTTATGTTTTTATACGTTTAAATCATTACGGAGCTGGTTAAATCATACGTAGCTGCTGAAAACAGTTAATGGCAATCACGTGCAATTTCATCTTGGCACTATGCAGACGCCAAAATTCACGGTTCGTTTGTGCACGTTTGCGAAACAGCATTAACAAGCAATCGTCAAAATGCCATTAAAAATGTACTATTCACGTAAAATGCGCCGACAGAAAATCTGTTAGTCGGGGTGTAAATAACGGCATAAAGGTGGATAGGTTATATTTAAACTGGTTAAACAAAGAACGGGGAATGGCGGCGGACGAAGAAGGAGATGAGAAAGAGAGATGAGATGAGATGAGATTCCGGGCGCCAGTTGGCTGGACCGTTGCCACCCACGTGATGTCAAATGTCATCTTTAAATTTGTATGAGATTGGATTATATATTTTTTTCTTATCTTTCATACACGTGTACACGCGTAACGTTGACCAATGTAATTTATTGATATCCCGACAAATTGCTGAAAAAGATAGTATTTTTAAAAAAAGACATAATCAGTAATTTGAGTAATTACATCTTATACCTCGTTTTTTAGGTTGGTTTAAAATTTAAAAAAATTATATTGTATTTAGCGAACTATATAATCATGACTTTATTATTTCTGTCAACCTCCATATAGTTGACAAGAAAATTCGATATTATCTAAACTCATATGTTTACGTGTTGCATTAATCAGACTTGCCAAGACAAACTTGAAACTTTTGTACTCTTTCTTTTTCATGAATGATTATACTTGTACAAAATACCAAGACTTCAGACACGCGAGAACTTCTCTTTGAATCGTGAACTTAATAATCATTCACGCACGTAATCAGCAGTAACATCACGTTTCAATTACATTCGAATTACCGAGTCTACATAATACGGTGTAAGAATTTAAATCAATAGTTTCAATATCGAGTACTGTAAGATGAAAAGAAACTTTTTAGCATGACAAAAATTGTAAAATTAATTATTAAAATAAAAAATTAACTCTTCATGGAATAATCTTAAATTTGACAGCACCCATGAAAAGTATCGTAACTATAGAATTTTTGGGAATTATGTGGGAAAATCGTTTTAATCATAGAAGTATCCGAGAGAATACTGTACCTTCATATAATATTTTTATTAATATCGATTTCATAAATATTTCATAAATGTTCTCGCCACAAATATTAGCGAAAAACATTTTATAAATATTTCCAAAATTCAATGAATATCTAATAGGAGAAACTTATTCTATATGAGGTTTGTGATATTCGTGTTTATAGTCGTTTGCGCAATTGTGTTGTGAATGCAAACACAGGGGACTTTCTCCCGTTGACACAGTTGTAATTCTGTATCGTTTATATATTTTCACCATTCCACGTTCAATAAAATCGACACTATATAATCGGTGTGATGCCGCAATTAATAGTACCAGACATCAGATATCGTTATGTAAGATATATTTGGATGTAATACGTAGGACAGTAGTGAGTAGCGTTCGTACCGCAGCATTACAGAAACGTTGCGACGTATCAATATACCAGCAGTAGTAACGACGTAACATAATCACGCAGTTGCAACACGATCTCTTATAGTGTTTAGAATAGTAATGCACTTCTTTGTACTCTAGTTCCTTTCTTCTCCGAGTGATTCTTATTTATTCTGCAGGAATGGAGAAATCATTCTTTAAAATAAAATATTGTTAACATATTGATACATAATCGCACGTTAAATTTTGAATTTTGATAATCTTGACTGTTGCAAATATGTAAATCACTTCGTTCGAAAGTATTTCGCTATTTTACAATCGAATTTCGCCTCTTTGAGACGAAAATACATATGATCTCGTAACCTTCCATGATTTGTTTTATTTACAAATTGTATACATCTGTGAAAAGCTCTCGCCGTGAAATAGAGCATATGAGTCACGGATTTGTTCTCGCTCGTAACACGCTTTAAAATACTTCTTATATCGATGCCAGCACAATCAATCTAATTTCGTCGAATTGGCCAGCAAGATAAATCTTTCTACAGCTTTTATACTTATTAGCTCTATTTCATAATTTATTTTAGTTTCTCTTCTTGCTTGATCAATTGAATTATATCGCACTGATTTTGGAAATCATGTTTGTTTATAATCCGACGAAGTAGCTCGACGTAATACAGAAGAGAATTAAAATTACTGCGATATTTGTTATACGTTATAAAATACGCACGTTAACGAAAGCGATAACATTTAATCTTTCAATCTTTGGATTTTATATTAACATGATTTATAAGGAAGAATATCGCATTTCTGTCAATAAAAAGAAGCATATCAAATTTTTTGATAGATCGCATTGTGGGTTAACAGCGATATAAAGGTAGTGTATGTGATTTTTTTATGTTTCTCCTCTCACTGCACGCAAGCTCTTTATATTTAAACGAGATGAAAGTGATTGCGCAAGAATCGCGATCAGTAACGCGCAGGTGCATTTTGCAAGCTGAAATTATTACTCCACCACCCGATGGCCAAGAATACATTTGCGTGCGTGCAAATTAGATTCACAATTAAAAAGACGGGCAAATAAAACATCGCGAATGGTGGGATGAAAGCTCTATATCTATCGGATCTTAAGCGCTAACTCGAGCAGAGTTAGGTAGCCTTCTTGGAATTAAACGAATCGCAGTCATCGTCGTTTCGATTGACACGATAGCCTTGGAGGGCACGATACAATGTCACTGACGATGACCGGCTAACTGTCTGCTTAAAGCAGTTACATCGTCCGTTATCAGTGGCGTAACGTTGCGGTTGACAAATGTACGATCACACAAAAAGCATTTAGAATTCCAATTTAGGATTCTGATTGTATTGTTTAAAAACTGCATTTATTTTATCATTCTATGGAGTATTATCCGCCCTTCACGTATATTTTGTAAACATGGTACAGCCATTATTATCACGATAAATTAACTTTATCATACGATTTCTTTTTCTATCGAGCAACTCCGTCACATTTTAATTACGCCACTGCAACCGATACTGCTTATTCGAGCTGATCAAGTAGTTACGTGTGCTCTATATTAAACGGGAATGACGCGGTGTGCTTTGAAGTCAACTTATAACGCCGTCTGAAAACGAAATTGTGCGATAAAATCCGAGTATGAATGGTCTCGTTATCGTCTTTTTTGCTCTTGAATTCTTTCACAAATTTATCTACTGTAATTACGCGTATTATTTATAAACATTATGTCACACATATCACTAACAGTGATATATTATAACAAATCACCAAAATTACAAAATATATAACAAAAATATAATCTTTTGTACACTAATCATTACGATGTTAATGTGTATAAGTTTTATATGTATATATATATGTAGATATATACACATATACATATATTAATAATGCATCCACTTTGTTAATACTCGAAATAGTTTATATGTTGTCATTATTGTTGATACGTCTGTCTTTCCTGGGAGTAAACTGTCTTTAATGGTAATCTTGATAATACGAGTGCAGTGTCATTAAGAACTCGTATATCACAATCAAGGCGATATTCGACTCGCGAAGGCATGCACAATACTGTAATTGACCTTGATCTGCATTTAACTGACCTTGGACCAATTCGCCCAAACTCGCCTCCAATATAAGAGGCGCCTGCTATTACCAAATTTGGATCGCAACTTTTTCTTTCTTCTTGTATTACGATTGATTACCAGAATTACTTGCGCAATAGTCGCTAGAATACGCATTCCAGAAACGGTCCCGACTAACACTGTGCGTTTCGAGGTTTTGGAGGAGATCATATATGAATGCGTACCTCTTTAGCTGCCGATTCTTGGAAGGCCTCCTTGGCCCCCTGGCCTCATTCGCATTGGTGCCTCCACTGGAATAAGTATGAGACCATTTCCGCCGATTTAGTTCTTAGAAACTGATCTCATCCCTTTATCTGGTCTCATATATTTTGAACGGATCAGTTTTCACAGAATATTATCGCTTTAATGTCGCTTTCATAACGCGAACATTTCGTAATGTATGTGAAATGTAAAATAAAATTTAAGTTTATGTATATTTTTCTCGAAAAAATTTTGTCAAATCGCCAACGGTACGTTGAGAAACCTGCTTTTACGACTAAGGTAAAAATCGTGCAGGCGCGACGGAAATCAGGAACCTACACCCACTCGGGCCTAAAACTGGCCGGCCTGGTCACGGTTGTTGCGCGAGTCTTGTAAACCGGCTTCGAGTGGTGCGAAAGTTTCTGCGAAAGTCCATAGCTCTCTACAGAGATCCGAATCCTCTAATATCAATTCTATTTATAACTTCACACTTCTATAAGTAGCGCGTTGCTGCAAGAAATATCTTATCCAATCCATGCTGCCGGCGCGGCGCGTCGTTCCAGTTACTCGACATGTTCCAGAGATCTTGTTATACCTAAATATTCATAATGAGACAGATTAATGATAGGTTACAATAAAATTAATTGAGACGCCAATCAACGTCTTCCTCGTTATCCGTTATAGATTTCGTGAGGCAGGGCTTAAGAGGAACACAATGTCAGCAGCCGTGAGGGAGCGAACGTCGACGCACACCAGCAGAAAGATTGTGAGTCATGGCGGTCCTATATCTGGCTACAGAGACGGAGCAGCCACGGCCAGCAGCCTCGAAAACAACTTGGGTAAACCTTTAAATGTGCCACCAGAGGTGTAACTCTATCCATCCGTTGTTCATTTCCGCTCCTCTCTTTTTCTGTCGAACGAGTCCGCGATCATTTTACTCACAATGTTTTCATAGCAAATTTTAGGGACTAAATTAGTTACGCGGGCGACGCGAACAATTTATCAAACTTTTGATGATGTAATTATCTTGAGTTCTCCTCTCCACTGCTGATTGATAGTGATACTCTTGAAACAAAATTTATGTAATGCGTTTAAAATTGTATCTAAAGTGATATAAAAGACTAATGTTAGATGTGATTTTAACATTTTAATTAAGGTCGATCGTAATCGTTTAGATACTCGGACTCATTTTCTCACCTCCATTTTTCGTTAAAACACCGATAACGTGTTAAATTGATTTATTCGGCTCTTTCAGACGCACTTCTCGAGGATCTGCAGACGAGTGTCTCGAGAAGTGCTACTCCTAGCCGAGACAGAACACTCTTGCCCCAAGTCGAGTATAGGGTAGCTGCCAACCCTACCAGAGTGATCTCGGAGGGCAGGTGAGAGAACAACAAAGTTATACGATAATCCGTAATGGGGTGCATCACTTACGCAATTAGTGTCCTTTCAAATGTAAAAATACATTATAATAAATATTCGGATTTAAAATTATTTTCCAGACCCATGTCTCCGTCTCGTTCGAGAGTGACTACCACTGAAAAATTCGTTAGTACCGGTCCAACTGGAACGACAAGCGGTATCCCGGGCTTGGAACATCTGGACGCGGAGCTGCAAGATGTGAGTTCTTAAACTGAAATGACACACGCGTTATTAGAATATCGTAAGAATTCGATACTGTTTATTCGATACATTGGAAAGTATAATATCAAGGCCCATTATAATTTGAAAACAATTCTGGACTTATACAGTTCTAGAGAGAAATCTTATTGCACGAATAAGTCTCTTTTTTAAAAAGTTTTATAGTTTTACAAGGTTTTTTATTCTTGTCATTTAGTATCATTTAATATCACATTACTCTACTTCGCAAATAAATAAATACACATTTACAATTAATTAAAGATCATATAAAAAGAAACATAAAAACCAAATCTAAAGTGTGAATTATAGTTTCCTTATTATTGCTGGGGTGAAGAATGGATAATAGCCCAGGGATAAAATCTAGGAACACAGGAAAGAACGATAATCACGCATCGGATGAAATCACTTCGACGTCGACGGTCCTGGTTCTTAAACAAAAAAACGAATGCGTTGCGTGATTAATGCATGCAAGAAACTAGTTTCGCATGCCGCCATGCTCATGCGCCCTTGCCGAGCTCGCTGGATGTGCTGTTGAACAGAAAACGACTATTTCGATCATCTGATGTTAATTGAGTGAAGCTACTTAACAGCACATAAAAATTCTTGATATTTGTAATAACCGAGCCAAAAGCACGAATTCGACAACACGAACTATTCTCAAGATTCTCGAGTCAGAAAGAAATTAAAATATTTAATTTTAATCAATTTAATCAATTTAAAGATTTATTTATGTATTTTTTATATCTCGAACAAAAACATAAAATTAGATATTTGTTGCCAATCTGCATACAGTTTAGCTATTTCAAATTCGTAAATAAATAAAATATTTTTATTCCAAGAAATAAATATAAGAATTAATATTATTCATTGCGGTAAAACGTAGATCAATAGAAAATCGATTAGCATCAGTAAATCGTACCGCGTGTTCATTTATCAGCAACATTAATCAACGACATTATTATTAACAGCGGATCTACAACACCCGCCGTACTATATAAATCAGGCGCAATAGATTGTTAGACGCAAAGTGTATGAAATCACTTCCACGTTAACGTTCGCCGAGCTTTATGCGTCCCGCTGGACGCTGCGGCTCCAATTATACGCCACGCAGATTGCATCGTTCATGCATTTGCCCCCGGGTTGCAAATGCCAGTGCATCTAGCGAATGTTCAATCCTGCCTCTCGCTACATTAGACGCCGTGAGGAATAAGCTAGATCACTTTTATATTTGAAATCGCCATGTCCCCTAGAATCGATCTGGTATTGAGCAAAAATAGATTGTCGGTCGTGTAATTGCATTGTAATAGTCGCCCGCTCAGCTGTCTAATTTGAAGCCAAATTATGATCGCTCGATGACCGTAATTACGCCACTCCCTCGCTTTCGTATTTATCCATTGACCTTTAGCCTTCACGCAAAGTTTCAAAGAATGCTTTAATAAATGAGGAGGAGAATAATAGAGAAAAATTAAACGGCAAAATGTTAATATTTTTAGATTTTTCTTTTTATAATTAATATAAAAATTAAAATCTGTCCTCTTTTTTCCTATTAATTTTCTGATATATACACGACGGTATCTTTTACGATTTAAATGCACGATGTGGCGTGACTCTTCACTTTCTAAAATACTTGCGAATAACGAAACATTCCTCGTACGTTCTCATGATTTTGGCCCTAGTCTTCTGACCAGATAAGAGAGAAAATGGAGAAATGCGTTAAAACGTTCTGCTCGGTAATGATGTTCGAGACAGCTACGTAATTGTAGTAATAATATTACCATTTTACGCGATATACTGAACATTAGACGCATCACGGCGAGGCACAGAATCAGTCTTGCGTGTAACGGGGGCCCCGAGGTAGGTAATTGCAGCGTTCGCTAGTCGTATGGCTTGTAATCCGACGTTCAATGAAAATAAATTGGTTTGCTCTTACACTCCTTGCACACCAGCCGGATACATGTTCAAACTAATGGGCTTCAAGATCTTTAAGCGACACTGTCTATCATCATCTGAAACGGTATAGAATGTAACGAAATAATCTTTAAAATTTCCATATGTCTTATTTGCATATTCTTGCAGTTCGTGAAATCATGTGCTAAAGTCATGTATTAAAGATCATACGCAAAGTAGCTCACGATGCGCGTGCATATATTCAGATAAAAAATAGATAATTATAATTTATTTAAGATCGAAATAAATCGAATTTATTCTATATACGTAATATTCTAGTGACTCCACTGCACAGCTGCATTTTGCAGTTGAAACAATCCTCGACCGTGAGTTGCTCCGCGGAATTCAGATGTTGTTACCGATCCGCCCATACGTTTTACACGTGGGACAGTCGTAATCAGAGTCTTATAAGGAGAGTCCGGCGCTGACGCTGCCCACGCATTACTCGCACTAATTTGTTACGATCGGATCGTTGCTATAAAAACGGATGACCTGAATGCCTATGCACACAGATGCGAGATTCTGCATTCGTGACGTTCATCTTCTTGCGCTTTCAGGTCCAACCCGGTCAAACTAAAACGGTAGCCTACAAGCAAGTGTCGTACCACTACAACAAGGATTTGGACGGGAAACCAGGTGAGGAAAATCCACGTTTTTTAATTAAATTATACACACGACGAGAGTAATTTAACAAATAAAATATAATTATGTAATATTGCTGAGTATTGTGCTGTACGTAGCTATAGAGCATCCCGTAGAGTTTAGCGTACTGTTGCTGTAGCAAAGCGGATTCTTATCGGATTCCTTGAATTATCCGAGACAAGTAACACCGCGGAGTCGCGGTGAATAGCTCGCGAACGTGAAACGATCAAGGAAGGTAGGGGAGCCGGTTGCTCGTGTCATGCCTTTTAAGGCGCGCAACGGCCTTGCTGGTTTACGGTTAATTGATAATGAAAAAATCGGGTGGATCGAATTTGAGCGTTATTCGCATCTTCAGCGCGATTCTAGCTCCTACACGGCGCGAAGAATATTATAATCGCGAAATATAAGCGCGATATCATGTCGCGCTCATATTTCAGTTATCGTTGCTTTCGAAAGAAAGCAAACAGGGACTGAAGTTCTGAAAAGTCGCGTCTCGTATTTTCATAAAATTTTTAGTAAAGATATTCCCAAATATACACGTGTGGAAGAATTCTTAACACAAATAAAAACTTTGATAAAAGCGATGTTGAAATAATGGGCGAATGTTTAAATTGTTTAAATTGGAGGGTATCTCAGAAATTAGGTATTTTTATACAAACATATTTTCGCCTCATTACATAAGCGAAGCGATCATCCATCACCTCGTACTTTTCGTGCAAAATACAAATATTACCTACGTTTCTCCATCATTAAATTTTATTCGCGCCAAAAATCTTTTCAAATACATTCGTTTGCGTAAATTTTTGAGCATCTTCGTTGAATATTATGAAAATCGAAGAGGTGGGAGACCTTCTCGAAACTTTATTCATCTCCGCTGGAAAGAAGAATGTTGGGAGCAAGAAGGTCTTCCCTGTATCTCTGTATTTGGCAGAGACGGCACGGTCGTAGCTCATGTTCTTTGCGGTCATGCATAACACACAAGCGTAGCCATATTAGGACCGCTTATGGCAGAAGACTGACCCGATTTCTTCGTGTCTCCGCTGCTCTCCCGAAAGAAAGAACGAAAGGTAAGAGAGAAAGATCGCGGGGGAGGTGTAGAGCTAGTAGAGGATAGACTCAAGTTACATACTGGAAGGACAAGGACGACTGTTGGTGAGAATATCCGTTGCGACCAAAGATATTCGTACCAGCCAATAAAATCTACTATTGGAGTAGTTAACGTTATGACTCTCATAAGATCAAAACAACAATGTAAATCACTGCAACTTATTGGCACTTTATTATTTCGTGCACTTTATAAATTGACATTAATTTACGAATTTTGATTACTCTGTTATTTTAAACTTATTATCGCGGTTTTGACAATCACAATGATAACGTACTCGTTGATTTATTGTTCCAGATTCATGGGTCATATCAGAAAGCAAACAGCCTCTCACTGGCGCGCCCTTGATGTAAGTACACAATTCTGCTTCTCGTAAGATCCAAAATACCTTTGTTTTCTGAATGGATGCCAAGCGACTCGGTCAAGTAACATATATTTTAAAATAGAAATAAACTTATACATTTCTCAATTGCATGTAATTTACGTGAAAGAAATTTATTGCAGACGATGCAAATGATTCGTCTACTATTTTAGTAGTTAAGTAACCGCTACAGTACTGTACTTAACTACTTATTTTTATAACTACCAAAATTTCGAAATATAAATGTAAAATAAATTAATATGTAGTATAAATGTAAAAAATGTGTAGTATGCAGTACAAATGTAAAAAAAAATCAATATTTATAGGGACGACATCCATGAAAGAACTTATGAGGAGACTAAAAGTTCAGCGAGTCCATATTCATATCAAAGTCCAGAACCAATTATTAAAAAATCAGTTGTCAATAGAGAATTGGTGAGTACAAAATTATACCATTACGAATATTTTCAAACATCGATTCGTCGATGTTTTTAAGTAATATTAAATAAAACGGACAATGAGCATTAATGTAATTATATTTATTAGGTCTATGGTGACAGCTCGTCTCGTTCGAAACAAACTTCCCCTTTACCAGGAACTCAGAGAGATGTCAAGTTCGTTCACGAAACCAGTACGTAATTTATATAAAATTACAACTATTTTCTAAATTTTGACATTCCAAGTAAACGAACGATTTTTCCTAAGATTATCAAACTGAACCACGACCGACTCAAAGCACGCAAGAATACATCGAGTATACCGTACCGGTCTCGTCAAGTCCATCGATACCGATCAATCTGGCACCCGGTCCCAACACAAAAGTGACCACCACCATCAAGACGTACACCTACGAACTACCGGGATCGCCGGAGACGTATCTACCAGGTGGCAACGTGCCAGGGAGTGTCGTGCTGCCCGGTGATCAAACGATCACGTACACCCTACCAAGAACCAGCGGAACCACCACTACAGACAAGATGGTCACCTATCAGACCGTGACGGATGTACCGGGACATCCTGGTACGCCGATCAGATATTCGCCGACCGATGTTACTGAGAAGTCGAAAATCATGCACAAGGAGGCGAAGTTCTATCGCGAGGAGCACCATGGCCAACCGACACAGCCTTCCTATTATCGCAGCGCTCCGCCGACGAACTTGGAGACCAAGACCACCGTGAGCGAGAAGTATTACCATGTCGACGGTAATTTTCCTAATGGTCACGGACCGGGTGATCGTCCGGACTATTCTACGAGTATATATCAAAATCAACCGCCTGCCGTAAGCGAAACGCACACCAGAACCGTTAATCGATTCGAAGAATATAGATCTGGTAGATCACCGTCTAGCGGACGTTATCCCGACAAACCAGACACTCCGACCAGGATTTACAAATTCTCGAATACTACGACGACAGTACCGCCGAACAAGAACGCCGACGACCACGAGGTTCTCCTGCCGAGACCGTTTCCAACTGGTACTCAAGTGTATCCCGCTAAGCCAATTACCAATGGCGAAGGCCCACCGACGAAACTGGAGGACCTCATGGCTTCGTTCTCTGATTCTGAGGTAAAGTAATTGATACTATATTATTTGCATGATAACAGTTCTATGTATGTATTTCATTTGTTCAGCGAGAGGTATTGGACGATATAGAGAGGCAAGAGCGTAAGAGCAAAAAGGAATCATCGGCTACGAAGAAAAAAGAAGTTGATTTTGTCCCGCATACACCACCAAAAGTCAAAAGCAAGAATGTTGCTGGGCCGCCAGTCTATTATCCTCCTGGTTCGGCGGAATTCACCAAGAAAGAAGAATCCGGCGCAGCCATGTCACAAGCTAGCGTAAGTCATTATATGACTTTATGTGGCAAATATTTAATGTATTATATGATCCTAAATTCGCGATATTTTATTATTTGATCTTATTCATTATTTTTTTCAGGGAGGGTGGGAAAAAGCTAGCGGAAAATACGAGTACGAGGCTTCTAGCAAAAGTAAAAGCAAAAGTAGCAAAGGAGGTGCCGTTGTCCCAGTTTGTCTCCCGTTATGCTGCGCGTTGCCATGCGTCATTATGTAACTTATTATTATATTAACAAATTAATGAAGCACATGACATACACACACGCGATATACATTTGTTATCATAATATAATTAAAAGGAATTAGAGAAGTTAATGCAAAAATATGTGTAGTCTTACAATTAGAGCAGAGTTTTATAAATTTCATAATTTTTCCTTGCCAATATAAGGTTCGTTCACTTGACTTGCACGTTACGCTTTTTCTTGTTTCTTTCTCTTTCTCTCTTTGCTTGCGTTTCTTTATTCCCAATAACTCTCAATACTGTGAATAAACGAACGCAGGCTTTAAGTCATTATCTATTTCACTTTAACTACAAAAATATGACTAAAAAAAGCAGTTCGTATGTGTTAATATTTAATATATATGATACGTTATGTAATAAGCGAGTAATCAAAACAAATTGTGCTGTTACATGACAGTGAACATCGTTAATGCGTTATGTTAACATATTTAGAAATATAGCAGCAATATTTCGGGAAGCTATTTATTTTATTTTTATTATTACTAGTATTATTTTTCTCAGTGGAAAATTTTAAAAAATTTTTTAATGTACTGCAGTATAACATTTGTTATAATGGAATGTAGATATAATACGACATGTTATATCTAGTGCCTTCTGTACATTTTTCACCTTTAATATTACATATTTAAAGAAAATAAATAATAAAATTAATTAATAGCACATAATAAAGTATTTTATTAATAAATTAAAATTTTATTAATGCGTAAATATTTTTTTGTATTTTTATTCATATCTTTCATGCGAAAAACATAAATTATACACTATAGCATTGGCAATTAATTATCTAAATCAAACTGTAAAATATTCTTATTTTTTAAAACAGTAAAATTCCTTACACTTAACAAATAAATTTCGTCATTTTATATACAACATACATTAAACTTTAAATTATCTATAAATTATTTCTTAAAAAACTGATTTGCTAAAAATAAAAAAATAAAGTGAATAAATCAAATATTGTAACAAGTAGGATAAATAAATTTTAATTAACTATACTACCGTGAATTATGGTGCTATAATAATTTTAGTACATAAGAAAGAACCATGTGAAATGGAAAATATCACTGCAAGAACTATCATGCATACACCATTGTATATGGCTATAAATATTATCTGTAATTATATGTAAAAATTGTCAAATCATGACATATAACATATTGCGTTGCATATGTATCAATGTATGGTAATAATAGGTTGTATTTTAATAAATTTACTGTCGTTTCTAAACAATAATTTTCCATACATGCGCTTCGTCCACATATACATTTATTTTCCAGAAAAAATTTCTTTTAATAAAAATAAACTGCATATACTATAGCCACGCAAAATATAGTATCCTGAAAAATAACATTCAATTAAGTCAGAAAGAACATAAAAATAAGATATCTGGACATTGTACGAATGTACGAGTTAAGTCGAACTAAAAGATTTATCTCTTTCTTACATTAATAAAACTATCATAGGCATATGTATCAGCTTCTGCATCCCAAATACATCTTGTACCCATTTTTACACCAGCACCATGTTGCTGTCCCAAAACCACGTTAACAATATATTTGTATCTCTTGAACTGTAAGTCTGTAAATATATCAAAAAAGTTGTCAAATAAATATTCATACAGAACTTCAAGTATAATAATTAATATAAAATTAAATTGTACATGCACATATAAAAAAGATAAGCATTACCTTTGATTTTTATTTTAATAATATCCGATATATCTTTAGTCCATTGAGCAGCTGCCTGGGCATCATATGATTTCGTAGCGAGCTGATCAAACAGCACATCATGTATTACCTCCTTTGCACTTAGAGGCTTAAACCTATGTTAAAGGCATAAAAATTTAGACTCTAACAAAATGCTATGAACTATGTTAATTATACCATCAGTTTCACTAAGTTCTGTTAATTACTAAAGAATAAATTAATCTTATAATTCTCTGTCACGCAAACTATACTATTCGTGAACATAAGCTAAATCGACGTGCGTACTTTTCGTGAAGATGTGGTCGAATTTGATAAACCGGTTGCTGAGCTGTCTCCTCATCATCCTCGAGAGTTTCCAAATTCACGTGTTTCTTTTCTTCCTCCTCCTGTGCTATGTCCACTGCTTCTTGCACCGGATTGACCGGGTTATGTCTCACAGAATGTTGCGTTCGCTTCGCCTCTGCCATTTATGATATTGGATAATTTCCCGTCAGATCGTCTCACTATCCCACTGATCGTGGGCATATTCCAAGTTGTTTATCTACAATGGCAATTGGCAACCAGTGGCAACAATATCACATGACAAAACATAACCAATAAAGATCCAGCATGCCTATACATTTTGCTATAGTATGTATGTACACGTTAAGCTAGGTCAGGTCGATGAGGGAAAAGGAGGCAAACATCGGACAATTTTTATCCTTTACTACGCTTCGATTTGACATGGGAATGTATGGAAGTATGGAACAAACAACTGAACATATAGATAATAATATTTAATATTTCCTGTGAAAACATTGCTACATATAAAGCATGAGGAGGTGCAGTGCTTGTAGTTACTGAAAGACACCTGACGAGCAATAAATATCTTTTCATAAAAATAAATGAAATATTCCAATCTATAATTAGAATTTGATACACAAATGCTAATACATTTAATATAACAAACATATTATATGGACATTTAAAACATATAATATAGTATAATATACGTAGATACGATTTACATTATAAAATTTTAAATAATTCTCCTTGTTACACATTGTGCGTATATTTAATTTATTAAAATCCAGACAAGTCCGTGGTAGAAGGGAAGAATGAACGCAGTAGTTGGCCTCGTTCTTTGTCTATGTACAAAGTCTTCCTTTTTACCATTATTTCATGTTCAAGAGTGCCTCTTGCCTTGACCAATTCCGCCTGAGATTCCTCAGCGCGTTTTAATTCCGCCAACATAGCGGAAGTATGTTCGCCAAGTGATTTTACTTCTTCAACAAGACTAAATAAAATAAAAATGTTTTTGTTAATAATCTCTTTTTGTTATCAATGCTATTTTGTTAGATAACCATTTCCTCTTTATTCAAGGACTTACCCAAATTGAGGTATATCTCGACAACTTTCAACATTGCGTCGATTCAATCTATTATCTAATCTTGTTTGTGCTAATTTCATAGCATTGTTTAATCCCTTCGTTGAATCCCGAAGTTCCTCAATCAGCTTTTCCGTACTTGCTAGTTCATGCAAGCACTAAAAAATAAAAATGTTTCTTCCGTTATATTTCACATAATCTTTTGCGTGTCCTGTTTATTGTTGCGTTCACAGATCCTTACGCGAAGTAATTCCTTTTCTAGTTGCTGAAGGCAATCTTGCGTGAGTTTCACGTTTTCTGCAAGTGCAATGTCAACGCGAGTCGCTTGATCGCGTAGATCTTTAATGGACTTAGCGTATATATCGTTCAAAGTGGATCTTAATTTTATTGATCTTTGTTTAGCAGTCTCGCCAGCGGTTAATACTTCTCGCGTGAAGTGTTCGTAGCTTGTAGGAGTTGATTGACTAAAAAAAAAAGAGAAAAATATCGATTATATAAACTGATTACAGCAGAAATTAAACGCTGAACGCAGCAAAGTTGTATTATCTCGAAACAGCAAAAAATAAAGCAACTTCACGGATACGTTTATTAATCGTTACTATTAATTACCATTGCACTGTTTCTTAAATTTGAATTTTAAATTTAAAAAACGAGAGGTTTAAATTTTTCTATTTGTGACGTTCTTTCATCAGCCTAGCACATAGAAAATAAATATGCAAACTCACTCGGCTGGAAATCTCGTAGCTCCAGCTTTCCATAATAAAAGCGGGGAATCGTTAGACAAATTCACACATACGGAGTCTAGATTGTAGGCATGAATTTTGTCAGACCAATCATTCTCCGCCCGCGCTTTCGCGGACTTCAGTTCGACCATCTGCATCTCGATCTGCTCGCGGGTTCTGTTTAGCAAATCTCGTATCTCGGAACAAAGCGCTATTTCCTGGAAACGTAACGCGAATTAAGACGCGAGGAGACGGCATTTCGACGAATTAAATCCGGAGATTCAACCTTCGTGAGTTGCTCTTCGACGTTATCGCGAACGAGATCAGAGTCCAAGCGAAAGGAGCGTAATTGCAAAAAATCGCTCGCGATCGATACAGGGATGGTCAATATCGATAAAGACCGCTGTACACGACGATGCTCGGCCTCTAACAATTCCATCTCTTCCGCAATGGTAGCGATCATATGTTCTAATTCTGCCTTCCAACGATACACCGCATTAGCCCGTGTCTTCAAATGTTCCGTCGTTTCCGTTTGCACCTTGTCGGCTGCCGCATACGCTTGATCCACACATTGTTTTGCAGCACTGGCCGTAACTCTATGATAATAAATAGTAAGTACTCAACTTTTAGGAAAAATTACGGAATACAATCCTCCACTAATGGATCTTCGAATCAAATCCTAAATGCAATTTTTAATAATCGCAGATTATATTGAATCACGTACTGGGAATCGCGAATTTTCTCGTTCGATTGCTGAAAGATACTCAAATTGTGCGCGCGCCATTCGTTCGGTCCGTAGCGAGTGATGGAATATTGATCTGCGACTGGTCTCAAACCCGTTATTCCACCCTCGCGAGAACAGGTTACTCTGCCCGTAGCCCATGGACCGAGAGGTCCCATTGTGTGTTCCGGCTTTGACGGATATTCATCCTCGGGCTGAGGTAAATAAAGCGGAGGTTTCTCGACGTTGTCCCCGCAGCCACATTCGTGCTCCATCGCAAGGCACGGTTCTGTCTTCTAGTTCGAAATTTATCATATGAGATGAAAACAGTAGATTGTGTACATACGTGTGTAATAAAATAATGAATAAATATAATTTTTTTCACAACTTTACATGCCGTCCAGCATTCGCTTTCTATATATATGTATATGTATATATACATACATTGGTTCTTTTAAGAATAGCCAATTTATACTGCATATATTAATAATATTATTATATACGGTCATGTCAGTCATGTGTATCGGTATGTGTATAATTTATGTAAATTAGTGACCCCTTACAGATAGAACTTACCTCAGTTTGTTGTTGCGAAATGTGATGCGGGCTATCAGCAGAATAATCATGTTCGTTCGGAATATCCAACATTTCGTAGGATAATCGAAAAAGCGAAGTAGTTAATATACGTAGCGTATTTTATTTATATTTTAAAGGGGTATACCGAACATAGGATACAGTTGAATTGTACAATTTAAGCGCAGTAGAATTTCTGTGAATTTAAGCTGTCGTCCGTAAACACGCCTGCTAAACCGGACTTATCGATTTAATACGCACAGCTGAACGAATCGCATCATTCTTCTAAAGAAGGGGTGATGTTTTTAACCTAGTCCGTTTCCTTCCTGTCAAAGAAAATTGATTAAAAAATTTAAAATATATGCAAGTGACTAAGTTCAAGATATTACACATCTTTCTATAATATTAAAATGAGTTATCTCGTCATAAAGATGTTTACGTATTTCTCCATTTATGCAATATGTTCTTTTAACATGGAATAATACGCGAAATGCATCCGATTAAATGTCTATTAAAAGATTATTATGCTACTCATGTAGGCATTTTTTTATGTAACCTATATGCAAAAATATTGATGACCCGGTGTTATCCTATCAAAGTTGGGGTACGCGCAAAGATGCCCTATGTAAAAATCTGTTTGCCAATACTCAGATTACCAAGTCGGACAGTCTTACATTATTTGATAAGAAATTTCTTGATAAATTCGAACTGATAAAGTCGAATTATATAATTAAACTCGAAAGAATATATCTAGAGAAATGTGATTTAATAAATCAGCAACTGTTACATGACTAAACAGCAGATAATTTGAAAAAGAACTATATACACACTATTCCCAAAATAGATCAAGAACTACTATACTTAGCGAAGTTTCGGGAGGAAACAGAATACGTATTCTGCTACCGAGAAATAACTGTGGATTGCATTATTTTTAATACATTGATTCACACAATTTAATTATTATGTCATGTTGTAGAACAATATATAAAGAATTGTAAAATAACAAAGAAATATCTTTTTTAGGATTAGAAAAAATGGCTCCAACTAATTGCAAGTATAAAGTATGTAGAAACATGAGAAGATAATAATAAAAACAACACAGACATTGCACTAGTGATATGTCGTTTGTTATATTTGCATATATTAACAATATTAATTATATTAATATTTCAAATTTTGCGTTTATTACATTAATATTAATATTATAGGACGTATCGATATAACCTTTTCTTTTAATTTCCTTTTCAGTAAATTGTAAAGATTTGAAAAAGATACAGAAACGGACACAGATACGGTTAGCGTTGAGTTGATATTTATAAGCAATCTTATCACGTGCCGGAAATAATCTCTCTGCATGGTAGCGACGTAGTCTCTATAAACGCTGCTCAAGCACTTAGCCGTGGGACTTACCGGTCGACTGTTGTCAAGTGTAGACATCACCGAGAAGAAAATGGCAAAGCAAGTCCAAATTAAATATACCCAAGTAAGTTAATATCTCGCATTGTTTCATTTATGCGCAACGACTCATTGTTTTTTAATTAAATATATTATAGATTCAAACTAAATCACAAATATTTGATCGCAAAGATTTACTTATAGAAAAATGCTTGAGTTAGAAACTACACAAAGAAACTTTTCAAGTGTTGTTTAAAGAATATATTAACTTTTAATTAAAATAATCAAAAACATGAATTTAAATAATTTTAGTGAGTTAAGAATGGGATAAATCTAGAACGTTTTGATTTGACTTTATCAGTATTTCAACTACTTATCAAGACTTTTTAAATCAGCAAGCTATTTGTATTTCATTATTAATAATATCAAATACTTTTTATAGCTATTCATTGATAATGAATTTGTGGATGCTGTGAGTGGTCGTAAATTTCCCACAATAAATCCTACCAATGGTAAAGTCATCGCTGAAATCTCCGAAGGAGATAAGGTAAAAGACATCATATCAATTATATCACGTAGAACATAAGAATTGCACAGAAAAGAACACAGAAAATAAAATTGACAGACAACTATAGATCGGGATCCAATATAAATCTCCATACTATTATTTCAGTTGTAAACCTTTGATTACAAGATAGATAATATTTAAAATTATTTGCTTTAAATCGATTTAAGATTAATATAGGCGAAGAATTCAAGACTTAGATAAATATTAAACTGAATAAAAAAATTACGTGACTTAATTGGCGTAGCTCGAAAGATTCAACTGTATGCACAACAGAGTTAAAGATGGTTTTCGATTTTGACACAGGTGATTTGCTTTTCTTTAACTGTGCTGCAAGATGATTATCAAAGTGTTATCTTATCATATTATTTGTATTTTGCTATCTACTTCGCATTTTTACATCTACAAGAAATAATATTTACAGATGTCTACATGTATACGTCTATTATATGCACAGATATTTACAGATCCTCCTTTTCTTCTTTCTTTTTCAATGTATTTCACAACTTTATATGTATAAAAATGGTTACAATTTAATAAATATTTCAGGCTTTTTAAGGTTTAAATTCTTTTTTTAAACATGTAAAAATGTTAAATGTAATAGAAGATTGTAGAGAATTATAAAGTAATAATGACAGTAAGCTAATAGAAAAATTTTGCGCATTAGTTGCGTGTTAGTAATATTAAAAATTGATTAGCTGTAATTTAATAGAATAAATTTCTTTTCAGGCTGATGTAGATAAAGCAGTGGAAGCTGCTAAACGGGCCTTTAATAGAAATTCGGAATGGCGTACGATGAATCCATATGTCCGTGGACAACTCATGCACAAGGTAAAATTTTATGTAAAATTTATGTAAAATTTTTATACTTAATGCAAACACTAACTGCATATTAAATGTAAGTCAATAAAATAGTTCGCAGATCTCGTTACACGCGATTTAGATTATATCGCTACTCTCGATACTCTTGATAATGGAAAAACGTATGCAAGTGCTGTTGAGGATATTCGATTTGGTATTGCTGTTCTTCGTTATTATGCAGGCTGGTGTGATAAGATACTTGGAACTACTATTCCGACAGGTATTTGTTTCAAAATGGATTGCTATTTAGGTATAGATAATTAGTTAGATAGTTACATACATACATACCGGTCAAAAGATAGCACACAAAAGACACGTATGCTGTCTTCTTATTCGAGAGTGTATGTGGAGAGCATTACAGCATATTAATATATTTCATTAAATTTCGCGTATCAATTATTACTTTTTCACTGTGATAGATATAATATGAATTATAAATTTAGTAACAATAAGTAATTCTATTTATTATCTGACTAGGCGACACTAGCGTTACATTGACACGAAAAGAGCCAGTCGGCGTTGTAGGACAAATCATCCCTTGGAATTATCCGTTCGTAATGTTGGCTTGGAAATGGGGCCCTGCATTGGCTACTGGATGTACTGTGGTCTTGAAGCCAGCGGAGCAAACACCTTTGTCCGCGCTTTACGCAGCCGCCCTGGCTAAGGAGGCAGGATTTCCAGCCGGTGTCGTAAATGTCATTCCAGGTTACGGTCCAACTGCTGGCGCAGCTATTGCTGAACATCCAGAAATTCGTAAAGTTGCTTTTACCGGATCCACCGAGGTATTTATATTTTATACAATATGATTGTATTAATAAAAATGTATGTATCGATATAAATTAAGTTCCTTCTCTAGGTCGGACATGCCATAATGGTAGCTGCTGGTAAAAGTAATCTTAAGCGTGTCAGCCTTGAATTAGGTGGCAAGAGCCCGCTCGTTGTTTTCGACGATGTTGACGGTACGTTGTCGGAATAATTAGGTATATCGATACACTTTGTTGGACAATTATATTTATATCACGTTGTCTATGTTTACAGTGAAAGAAGCTGCAAAAATTGCGTACAATGCGATATTTGCGAATCATGGGCAAAACTGTTGCGCGGGATCGCGAACATTTGTACATTCTAAGATATACGACGAATTCGTGAAGCATGCTAAACAGCTGGCGCTCGATAGGAAAGTGGGAGATCCATTTGATTCTAAAACCGATCAAGGCCCGCAGATCGATCAAGAGATGTTAGACAAGGTCCTGGGCTTAATCAATTCCGGCAAACAACAGGGCGCTGTTGTGGAAGCCGGTGGAAATCGCAAAGGTGACACCGGTTATTTTGTACAACCTACAGTCTTTTCAAATGTAACCGATGATATGAGGATTGCCAAAGAAGAAATTTTTGGTCCGGTTCAAACAATCCTGAAATTTGATACCATGAATGAAGTAATTGAACGTGCGAATCGCACTAACTATGGTCTTGCTGCTGGTGTAATTACCAAAGATATTAATAAAGCTTTGGAATTTGCCCAGGCCGTAGAAGCGGGTAGCGTTTGGTAAGTATACAAGAAATATGTGATAATACTTTGCTGTATGTACAGTTATGTATGTTTAATTTAATAATTTCCAGGGTAAACTTTTACGATGCTGTCGCACCCCAAACACCATTTGGCGGTTTCAAACAATCTGGCACAGGACGTGAATTGTAAGTGATAATTGATTAAACTGAACTGATTTAAATTCTGTGTTATAAAACTCGTATTTTTTTCAGGGGAGAAGAAGGCTTGAAAGAATATCTCGAGATCAAAACAGTCTCCATCAATGTCACAAAAGGAAATTAATACTCGAGTTATGCATGGATATATAAGCTCTTAATTTTCATTATAATTTTGTTGAAAATGTCTTAAATAAAACTTTTGTAAAAGAATATTAAAGTGATATATGTAATGAGATATATTATTCATGATATTAAAGTTTGGGAACCAATGTACATACATCTTCTTATTTCGCTCCTTTTCTACCGTAAAGCATGGGAGAATCTATATATATTTGAGACATGTATATCTCAAAAATTAGGAGAATATATTTATATAACATAAGGTTGTAAAATGGATGAGAAACAAGATAATTGTATTTGAATTTTGTAAACGTAACACTTTTATTCTATGTAAATGTTAAAACCTTGCAGATTCTTATCTTGGTATAATGATAAATATTTTTTTTACCTTCATGTAATATGGTCTTAAAATTATCTACGTCGTACGAGTCGCGGGCTCAGTATAATCATCCGGAGGTATACCTAATTCCTCGTCTGTCCACTGGGATGGATCTGGATATGGGAACTCTCCCTGAATATAAAAAGAAATTGTTGCACTGACATATCATAGATATTAGAAATATACGAGACAAATATTAAAAATTACGTGATACTCACGACAATGTGGCCAAAGTCGTGCCAGAAATGCCATAATACCCACCACCACATTATGCCTCCGAAAATTTCAGCTACGAACACCCACGTCTTGTCTTCTGACGGGAAATCGCGATACATTCCATGACTAATATAAGAAAATAACGGAGTAAATTATAATAGGCACATAATGCTGCATATATTCTTTTCGTGTAAGATGCTTTCGCGTGACGAAATGCATTTGCATTGAACAATAGTGAAACATTGGAACATAACCTATAACGCAGAGTTACATAATAATTCTATTTACCCGTGAGAAAGCCTAACGGAGCGCAGATTTGTCGCCGCGAATTTACTTGGGCTTCTTTTATAGGCGACTTTCAATAAATTCAATCCTCGTGAAATTATCATTATTACAAATAAATCGCCACTGTCAAGCGACACTCACAGAACTGCGTGACGTTGACGTAAATCGCACTCGCGCTCTCTCTCTCGCGCAGCGCAGTCCACCGTCCGGCAGTCGGCGGTCGGCGCAACGACATTCGATAGTTCGAGATTCTCGAGAGTCGAGAATCGCAACGTCGACACCGTCGACAGATGTCGCGTAGTCACGGGACTCACGGGACGTGCCGAAAGCCAAGAAGACGACCGTTGAAACGCGTTCAAACTGCTCCGCTGATTTTTCGCAGTTATTAGTCCAAAAAGTGAATCACAAGCGCGAAGATAACGACAAGATTATCGCGAGCGTTACCGCGAGGTGCCGGATGTCCGTCATAATGCGTTGAACGTCATGCACAATCGTCGTCACGTCGCTACATCGACATCGTGATTTCGTATCGTGATCAGGTATTGGCAATTTGATTCTCTACGCGTCTCGAATCCATCGAAATCGTTCTCATATTCGAATTGACTTTAACCGAGTACAAAAGGACAGTGAGAGCGGTATCGGGAATGCCGGAGAAAGTGTCGGGCGACCGTCATATTATGCGCAGATACGGTATATATATATATCGCGTTGGTGAGAACTCTCGACAGTTTCGTCAAATAAATTCCGCGCGACCATAGTATCCGTACGTGTGAATTTTCCACAGGTATACGCGCGCGCGCACGCGAGTCAAACGTAGTAAACGCAGTCTTCGTACGCATCATAAAACGTAAATTTTATTATATGCATAGTAATTAATCGAAAAAAACTTTCCTTTTCATATATTTTATGTAACTTTTAGATCGAAATATGCAATAATGTAGCTAGTCGTGATTAAATCGTGGTGTTAATATATTATGACTGCAACAGTTATAAAAATCTCATTCGCTCATGCTTCTATATTTCAGATTTATATGTGTACTTCTATATTTTCTATATTTGAGAGAATCAATTCTAAGAAGACGGCTTTTACTAAATTATTTTACGGCAATTACAAGAATAATTATTTTAATTCGGAAGCCCTTTTGAGGTGCGCGTCTAATAAAAATATTGTGTTATTGTTTAAAAATAAATCCTTTCCGCGGAAAATTCAGAAAGTGATCGTCTCGTAATAAAATACATCGCATAGGTATACATCAACTGTTACAACACAAGGGGAGCTTTCCAGCAAGCGGACAAATCGACACAAGTATCGTTTTGTCTTTGTTACTCATTACCAAAAAAAGAAAGATAGAATGACGTTTGTGTCGACTTGTATTGCTTGCTAGAAAGCTCCCACTGTATCTACGATCCACTTTTATGTAGGTATCACAAAGTCGCGTATTTTTTCTGTTCGAATACATCGAAAGTATACAATAGGTTCGTGATTATCTCGCCAGCTGTGAATTTATGTTATTTTACAAAAAATATTATACGTCATTTTATTACTTAGATTTCTTTCTCTTTATTATATCTTTTACCTTTTATAATATTTGAATAGCGTTGAGAGTATATGCGATGCGCTTTGCGCATTGATGAAACGTTATAAAAGCCGTAATATTCCGAATTTTAATTAAATCAAATATTTTTATTTTCTAAAGCTTTTAGATTAATATTATAACTATGAAAAATAAAAATTTTTTACCAATTATTTATGTAAAAATTACGTAAGATATTGGCCAAACGTAATAATATAAGTTTTCGAATATTATATTTTGCGTTATTATTTGATTATTATTTGTTACAGATTTCAACCGACACATTCTTCGCCAGACAATGATATCGATGAAACAACGGAGAAAATGACGATGGCGACACATTCTGATGAGTACATTTGTGAGTACATTTATTTATTTATTTATTTTTCGTGTTTAACATTAAAAACGAATTGAAATAAACTAGCGGATTCCACGAACTTTTAATGTTGAATTTATATTTTAATGTTAATGAAAGAGATCTCTGGATTAATACTGTTTGCAGATTGTGTAAATTATAATCAATTAGTCAATAAATGCAAATAAAAATAATAAAGTTGCACATATTTCATGTTTAGTTTTAACTTAATACAAGCTCAAATAGAAATTTATCTAGAAAAATATTAGAGAGGATTTAATTAGAAAAAGTATAAAATTAAATCGAAAATATAAATAGAATGTATCAAATGCCTAAAAGTTTATCGAGCGTTTGTTATCATCGAAAAATACGTATGATATATTTATTTTTATCGAGAATATGCCAAAAAATATATCAATCGTTTGTTTTATCAGGAGTAGTAAAACACTTTTTAGATATTTATCGTAATACGAAATTATTTCACAATTTTATTATTATTTGTTACAGATTTTCAACCGACACATTTTTTGCCATAAACAATGATATCGATGAAACAACGGAGAAAATGACGATGGCAACACATTCTGATGGTGAGTACATTTATTTATTTATTTATTTGTACACCATGAATCGATGCCGTAGAAAGCAGGCAAACACTTGGTTTTTAAAATATATGTATAAATTCCAAAAGAATTACATATTTTATATCAGTAAATTATATTTTTTAACATAACGTTTTTAAGTGGTAAAGAGAAGCTGCCGGCGTTCGTTCCATTTTGTCCTCCTTTTACGAGATTAATTTACGACAGCTTAACATTCGATGGAAGTCGTAGAAGTATATCAGCCGCGGAATGTTCGCCATTATACGCGGTACGGCTGAAACTCGGGGCGCAAAGGGGCGCACTCGTATCTTAGGGGAGCGTCGCGACGCGCTGCTATTGGCTGAGCAAACGCTTTTACAAGCTGCAGCGAGGCATTTGATCTCTCGGTAGCAACCCTCCCGAGACTTATCTCGCATTGGCGCTTTAACCATAACGCGGCCCCCGGTCGTACCTAATAATATGTTTTATAGAGGCCGTCGTCCAGTATCTTTCTCCGACGAACGAGCTCTTAACCGTAGATACAAGACACCCGTGTAACTTGGAACAAAATTGTCTTCGCAGAAATGCGCAGAATAAAATAGTATATATTTAAAAACATAGAACATTAATATTCTACAATATTTAAAACACAAGGAAAAAGCATTTATAGTGCCATTTTATATAATATTTCTCTACAATATAATTTAATTGTATTCATAATATAAACATTTACATATGTCAATATAATATTATTTTTCCAAATTAAGCAATAGATAATTTACTAGAATACTGTCATTTACATCTCGATACGCAGAATTTAATTTGTTTTTTCGCTAAAGAGTTATATATGTTTAGTAGTTAGTAGTAGTTATATATGTTTATATAACATAAGAGTTTACTCTTATATTATATTAAATTAAAAAACACGAAACATTAATTAAGTCAAGCAAAATTATTCTTCACAATTAATTATACTTGTCAGTACTTTTAACATTTTTCTTAAAAAAATATCAATATGATCTACTGTTCATATTTTTTATCTTAACAACGCAAATAATGATTTATTTTGCCGAAGAAAAATCGATTTTATTAAAAATTGCACTATTAATTTATTAAGAATTACGGTATTCTGTATCTCTCAAATCAAAAAACATTGCTGTATAAACGAACAAGATGGTATATCTTTTTGATATACTAATTTTTTAATATACAAAATTATTAAATTAAAACTTATAATCTCTATTTAGATACGCAATACACATAAAACATATAAAACGTTTTCATGATAATATAAGATTTTCTATAAATCTTTCTCTTCTACATTCACATGTTTGATGTTAGATCAAAACGTTTTGTGTAATTTATTTATTTCTATAATTTACACATAAGCACACAAAACCGATGATATAATAGTTATTAAAGTATTAAAATATAATATTCTTTCGATAAATAACTAACTAAATGCATTTATTACACTTTAATGGTATCGATAAATAGTATAGTGACTGTTTCTTTAGTCAAAAATGTAATCGTGTTTTGCATCTCTATAGATAGATTAAATCGCACATATAAAAAATGTATTAATAAAATAACACATAGAAGATATGTACTCCTATATTGTAATTTGAGTATAATTCCGAAGATTTACACGCAGATGTAATATAGGTAATTTTGGGAGGGATATGTTATATGTGCAAGTTATCTGAAAAACTATAGTTTCGCAGTTGCAATACTTTTTGATATTGTAGATCTAATCAGCTGTGTATATATAGCATATTCGATTATATAAAAATATTGTAAATCCATATATAGACATGATATAAATCTACTGTATAAATCTACTGTATTCTAAAAATATTCTGGCAACGATTGGATGATCTGATTGCTTTCACACGATGTTTGCAAGTATCCCATAATGAGATTGCATATTGGCAAGACGTGCCAGCGCATCGCCCGCGATTGTTAATTCATAAATTTGGCGTTGCCATTTCGGTTAGCGGTATAGTGTCTATATCATCACGGTCACTTTCGGTTTTGAGAGGGGAAACTTATTGATGGTCCGCGTTTACGAGGCCGTTCGGCGGTTTTCCGCATACATTCCCCGCAGATTAAGAAAAAGAGCTGACTAAGTTGCACCCCTTTACGATCGCGTAAACTGCATTGGATTGCAAATTCTCGAGCACATAATAACGATCTCATCGTCATCCCCGTCCGTCGTTCCCGCGGCAAAGAAACGGGGCCTGTAGATTAGATGGCTCGTTCGACGGACGATACGAGAAATATGTCGGCTCGTATCCCATTACCCGAGTGCGCCACCCCTCTTTGGCTGACGTGGCGCGCACGCTATTTCGCTCGTCCCTTCGCCCCACAGAACGGACCGTTCTGGCGGAGAGATGCTGCGAGAGAGTGTTTCCATGGATACCAAGTCGGCCATCTTGGTCCATGGGCGTGAGGGATACGAGAGACCGGAGGAAAATCCGATAAATTTACTGCGACTACGTGGGAACGGGCGGCTTCGTTCCAAAATGGCGACTCATCTTGCAATATGCTTAAACCGTGATAACTTAAATATTTGCATTTTATATATGATTTCGTGCCTTTTCTTATGTATATTATTTTTTTGTTAAACCTATTTTCTAAACATTTTTCTAAACAAAAATTATTATTTAAACTTGCCAAATCAATTGTAGAAAG